ATCCCATCCAGGGAACTATTCACCTATTTGAGGCTTTAAGGAAAGCGGGATTATCCTGAAAGAATCCAACCTCATACCACCATTTGTCCATAAGTGTAAGGGGAAGCTTCCCAAGGTTAAAGCACTATCCCTCTGCTACAATACACTTCTTACCCAGTATACGGCAACAAAACTTTCCTACATGACAAATTGGGAAATGGACCTGGGAATACAATTCCCAGTAGCCACGTGGCATCGGGCTCAGAAGCTAACAAAGCAGGCCTCACACAGCCTTAACCAGTGGGAAACCTACTGTAAACTAACCATGCGCTGGTACCTGGTCCCCAAAAAATTGGCACACATATACCCAGGTGCGAACAAACTTTGTTGGAGATGCCAAAACCAAGAGGGATCCCTATACCATATATTTTGGACATGTACACAGATCACATCATTATGGAAGGCTATTCACACACTTTTTTGCACGGATCTAGGGATCAGGGTTCCACTGACACCAGAAAGCTTTTTATTACACATCTTCCCAGATAATCTCCACGAAGAGGAAAGCTATTTAACGATCCACTGCCTAATGGCAACTAAAACTGCGATTGCCCAAAAGTGGAAATCCACACAGGTTCCCACACTACCAGAGATTTTAGGTAGACTAGACTCGATATATAATTACGAACACATGGCAAGCTGTATCACCGAGAGGCAGCGTAGACATGGAACAAGGTGGCGCAGATGGGTGGACTATAGATATGGAAAGACATAACAGAGACTACGACATATTTGATAATCTACCAAGGCTCCTCAGTAAAGAGGGCTTCCCAAGTTAACACCTTGTAGCATCCTTTAACTGACCATTTTCTTTTTTGCCCTTCTCTTTAACACCAACACAATAAAATAAATACTCTTTGCCATAGCACAGCTTCGCTAACCCCCCACCAATCTCTCCCCCTGCCTCGGCGGTCTTAACAGTTAGGGCGTACAGAAACAATTTAGTGCCTTAGAATGTTTCAGGCAAACTTGAATAGAACTACCATTGTATATATGTATTATACTCAGAAGCTGGTGAATTGTGCCTAATGATTAATATCCAATTCTATGCACAGATGTTAATATTAATACTTTTTGTATGACTATGATACATTGTTTTATGTATTGTCGCCCTCCCTCCCCCCCCCTTTTTCTCTCCGTGTACCCCCTCCCACGTTATCCCCCTTTTGTATACTATGCATATTCATTGAAAAACCGAAAATAAAATACATTGGAAAAAAAATAAAATTAAAAAATAATTAAAAATAAATAATTATAAAACATATAGATGTGTGTTATTTCGTTCTAACTGTATTGAGATATTAATATATATATATATATATATTTATATCAAAATACACGTAGAATGAAATAATATCTATATCTATATACATAAATATATACGTATATATCACTATTAGTGATGTCCCGAACGGTTCGCCGAATGGTTCACGAACGGTTCGCCACGGACTCATTCCAGACACATTCCAGCCAATCAGCAGCAGACCCTCCCTCCCAGACCCTCCCACCTCCTGGACAGCATCCATTTTACATTCATTGTAAAGCTGCATTCTTAGTGAGCTGTCCAGGAGGTGGGAGGGCCTGGGAGGGAGGGTCTGCTGCTGATTGGCTAGAATATGTCTGCTGACTGTGAGGTACAAGGTCAAAGTTTACTCAATGATGAGTCCACGGCGAACCATTGGCGAACCGTTCGGGACATCACTAATCACTGTATATATATCTATATATAAATAAAAATATTTTTTAAAAATTATATATATATATATATACATATATATATATATATATATACACATACATATATATATATACATATATTAATTCTACATATATATTTATGTAATATTTTTTCATAATTAGGTATCTTAATTAATTACAATTATCGGGACCTGCCTGACAACCCATGCCGAAAGTATAGGGAATTTAATTTGCTAGAACTATATTTAACCCTATAACGTAAGACTCCATAAAACCTGCACATGGGGGGGTACTGTTTTACTCGGGAGACTTCGCTGAACACAAATATTAGTGTTTCAAAACAGTAAAATGTATTACAACGATGATATCGCCAGTAAAAGTGAAGTTTTTTGCATTTTTCACACACAAACAGCACTTACACGGACGATATTATTGCTATGATACTTTTTACTGTTTTGAAACACAAATATTTGTGTTCAGCAAAGTCTGCCGAGTACAACAGTACTCCTCATGTACAGGTTTTATGGTGTTTTCAAAAGTTACAGCGTCAAATATAGGGCTTGTGTTTCATTTTTTTCACATTATAATTCGCCAGGTTGGTTACGTTGCATTTGAGACCCTATGGTAGCCCAAGAATGAAAATTACCCCTATGATAGCATACCATTTGCAATAGTAGACAACCCAAGGTATTGCAAATGGGTTATGTCCAATCTTTTTTTAGTAGCCACTTAGTCACAAACACTGGGCAAAATTGGCGTTGTTTTGCATTTTTCACACACAAACAAATACTAACGGTAACTTTGGCCAGTGTTTGTGACCAAATGGCTACTAAAAAAGACTGGACATACCCCATTTGCAATACTTTGGGTTGTCTACTATTGCAAATGGTATGCCATTATGGGTGTAAATTTAATTCCTGGGCTACTATACAGTCTCAAAGGCAACGTAACCAATCTGGCGAATTCAATTTCAAATGTAACGTGCTATATTTGACACTGTAACTTCCCAAAACGCCATAAAGCCTGTACACAGGGGGTACTGTTTTACACGTGAGACTTTGCTGAATACAAATATGTGTATTTTATTGCAGTAAAAGCAAACAGTATTATGACATTGACGGTTAAAATGTCATGTAGAACTAAATTTTTTTTAAAAATTCTTATTTTCTCCCATTTTTTTCATATTAAATTATGTTTCATAGCTAAATATTTGATATTAAATGAAAGCCCTGTTTCCCCTGAATAAAATGATATATAATAAGGGTGGGTGCATTTAATATGAAAGAGGTGAATTACGGTTGGACAGACATGTAGCGCAAATGCCAGGTTTTGATTACATTTTATTCACAACGTGTACATTTGGCTCAGTCCTTAAGGGGTTAATCTACATAGGAAGTAGAATATGTGTTTCTTGTATTCTCAACACATCAGATTTTGCTAATATTGTTGTGTGGTATTTACATCTGGGGAATCAGAAGAAAGCCCTATGTGTACTAAAAAATAAACCAACACTATATATCGCTGCATACTTTACAAAAGTGACACAAAAGCCTTGGTCTGCACACATAATCTCAGAAGTGCTGCTGCTGCTGCTTTCACACAGTACTGAAAACGCTTGCTAGAGTTGAATTTACATTTTACCGGGTTGAAATTGTGAGCTCTAATATAATGATTTGGAGACTGTGGTCCATTTAACTCACTATGTACCATTTTAAGGGAAAAATCAGTCAAAGATTTCACCCTTATACACTTAATGGGTTAATTTTGTTCAATGCGATTTTATTTAAACGTTTAAGGGACACTATAGGCACCCATACCACTTTAGCTCATGACTACATTGCAGGACTAAGACTGCCTCTAGTGGCTGTCAATCAGTCAGTAGAGGCCCTTCCTGGCACACTCTGCGAGAGGACATCCAGCATCCGTTAAATCCCCATAGGAAAGCATTGAAAGGGGACGACCTAATGCCAATACAGATTTGTAATTCTTACACTAGAACAGGGATAGGACACCTTCGGCACTCCAGATGTTGTGGACTACATCCCCCATAATGCTTTTACACCCATAATGCTGGCAAAGCATCATGGAAGGTGTAGTCCAAAACATCTGGAGTGCCGAAGGTTGCCTATGCCTGCACTAGAAGAAGCATTTGTTGTTTGTTGTGTTTTTTTTTCATAAGATGGTCAGTTTCCAACCCTTCCATATCGATTCACTTTCCTCACACTCTGTCACTTAGCTTTTTCCACATTTTCCATATCGGTACCCTTCTCCCCATCTTAATTACTTTTAGTTCTTGTTTATACATGAAGTAACAAGATTAGTGTAGCCAGAGAGAGTGTGTCAGGTTGCTTCAATAACGTGGGGGTTAACTCCTATTGGGATAGAAATATAGAAACGAAGAAGGAAAGGGAATCGAAGGTGGATAAAATATTGGTACCTCACAATCCAAACTTTTCCCGAGCTTTATTTCTTAGGAGTCTCTCTCTTATGGATACTTATTAATTCCTAGCTTAGCTACATTTGTTTCCACTAGTTGTTAGTATCTTTTTTTGTTCTATTCAATGTTCTTTTACTGGAGCAGCATACTGCAATTTCCTGCTTTGGCTAACTTGGTCATTTTGTATTTATTAGTTTCTATTTATTCATTTGATTCATTATTTGGTTTCTATTTCTTTCCTTTTTCTTACTATTGGATGGTATTGTCAGCGTTTTATGATCAATTACGAGGTGTATACTCTACTTCTCTATTTTTATTATATTATATGTATTAAAGGTTATGTTTTATTAGTTATTTACTTGTGGGTTGCTTCCTAGTTCTGGAAAGGTTCGGATTGTGAGGTTCCAATATTTTATCCACCTCCGATACCCTTTCCCTCTTCGTTTCTATATTTCTATTGTTTATACATGAGTCTGTTCCATCCTATCTTATCTTATTCCCAGTAAACCTTTGCTTCCCATGAGTTCTCCCGTTTGTTTCTTCTCTTGTAAATCTCTTCATACAGGTTGTTTATCAGCACTAGCAACAGTTTACCACACGCATCCGCATGAGGTATAAACAACTTCAGCACAACATGTTTAATAAGCCGCACAGATCAAAGTATTCCATGTAGGCCAAACACCACCTCAGAGTGCTTGAAGTTGCGTCCAGAAATTTCTTATGAACAAAAATACATGAAAAATTAATAATAACTCCAATGCTGCACCATGACTTTTTAATGTTTGGTGATGCCAGGTAAATACAGTAATGAAAAAAGTAACAGTAAGGAAAAAACAAAACAAAACAAAAAACATCTGGTGTTTCGTCCTTGTGGGCTATGATTCTGTTTATTTGAGGAAATATTACTGATGACCTTTTTTTTTTCTCATTTGTCGTTTTTATTGATGCATTCGACAAAGAGCATTGTTTTACTGAATGTTCTTAGAAACTGTTTGTTCGGCATTCAATACAGTATGCAAACATGTTACAGCAATTAACAGATTAGAATATCCGATTAATACTGTGATGCACTTTTGTAGGTTAAAATACATTTTTGATTTTGTTTAACTAACTACGTAATGGGGGTGGGGGGGAGATACAGGAGGTAAGGGGGAGGAAGACCCTGGTCTAAGTCCACCAATTCCACTTGATAATGCCTTTTGGGCAATACCCCGATCATCTGTCAGTTATCAGTTGTGAGGCCCCATGTGTGCTGTTCAATAAGAGTGTTTTGTAAAGTGCTCTGCTAAGTCCCCTGAATTGTGAGCCAGCTGGCCCAATCTTTCTCATATTTCTCTATCCATCAGTTTGTTTTGCTTGCCATCCTCTCGTATGCGCTTATTCTGTCCATTTTGGAATGCATATTATCTATCGGAGGAATCTGTTTGTTTTTCCAGTTGCCAGCCAGGACTGTTTTGGCTATCGTCAAGATGTTTAAGATCACCATTTTATGGGGGTGTAGATATAGTTCTGGTATGATATGAAGTAGGTATTTTTCTGCGTGTGGGGCAATGAGAAGCTGTGTCTTGTGAGAGATCATGGTCTGGACTTGGTTCCAGAATTCTTTTAATTTTGGACAGCTCCAGAATATGTGGAGCATGGTTCCGGTACCAGTTCCACATCTCCAGCATAACTCCCTAGTGCCTGTGTACATCCTCGCCAGTCTGTGCGGTACCAGGTACCACCTCATTGTGATCTTGCAGTAAGCCTCCCATAGCGAGAGACTGCGCAAGGCTTTTGTATGTGCCATCGCCGTTTGCCAGTCTGTTAGAGAGAACTGGCAGCCTATTTCTTTTTCCCATTGTATCATATATTTCAATTTATCTGGGTTTGTGTTTGTGATAAGCTCATGGTAGCAGAGAGATAGAGGTTTGGCAAATTTGCTTAAGAGAAATTGGTGGGGTGTGAAGGCCTTCGTGTCAGAGTTGCCTGGGATGTCTTTAACCCCTTAAGGACACATGACAGGTCTGACATGTCATGATTCCCTTTTATTCCAGAAGTTTGGTCCTTAAGGGGATAAAAGCAGGTTTGTATTACGTTTTTAACCCTTAAATAAAGATATAGATCCCTAGGCGTCAGATCTAGCTCTTTTTGGAGCTCGGGGAATGGTTTAATTTGTACCCTTTTCACTAGGTCGCGGACCTGTCTCGCTCCCTTCACCTGCCATCTCCCCAGCTGCAGTTCTGGGAAATAAGCTGTTAATGCTTCTATTGGAGCTTCTTTAAGGAGCTGTGTTGAGTCCATTACCAATGGACTCCAGGCTTTCCAAGCGTGTAGTAGAGTCCTTAAGCAGTGAAGCAATCTTTTTGTAGGGGTTCGGGGAATTGAGCTTGTCCATAAGTGGTGGCTTAAATTTTGTGTGCCTAAGCATGCGCTTTCGAGTGGGAGCCAGAGTGGGCATTGAGAGGCTTTGTAGAGACGCAATAGCCTTAACCCTTGTGCCAGAAAAGATGCCCTATAGTAAGCTTTTATGTCCGGCAGTCTCAGTCCCCCTTTTATGTAGGTGAGCCAAAGACACCCTTTAGCTACCCTGGGTGGCTTTTTCTTCCAAATGTGAGCGTTGATGACGCTTTGAAATTGTTTAAGCAGTGAGTTCGGGAGACCTATGGGTAAGGTTTTAAAGAGGTACAGTACATGTGGTAGTGCCATCATCTTTATGAGGTTAATTTGACCTAACCATGATACCTCCAGACTCTCCCATTTCTCAAGTGTGGATTTGATTTTGTTAAGCATTGGGAAGTGGTTTTCTTTTGTTATGTTCTGATTTAGTTTCACTCCTAAGTATTGTAGGGAGGTCGTGCACCAGTCATATGCGTGGCAGGTTTTTATTTCCTCCAAAGTGATTCGTGGCAGGTTAATAGGCAATGCCTGAGTTTTGGCTAGGTTGTTTTTATAATATGAGATTTTCCCGTACCCCGTCAATGTTTCAAGGAGGGAACGCATGGAGGAACCCGGGTTTGTGATGAACAGCAAAATATCTTCTGCGAAAAGAGCTAGTTTTTTTGTTCCTCCCGGTGTAGTTAGACCTTGTATGGTTGTATCCTATTTTATGCTTCTAACTAAGGGTTCTAAGCATAGAATGAAGATTAAGGGAGAGAGAGGAGAGCCCTGCCGGGTACCATTACGTATGTCAAATTGGCGGGAAATAAACCCAGTGCTAAAGACTTTGGCGAATGGGCATTGGTATAGCGCCATTATGCTTGATCTAAAAGCAGGCGGGAACCCCATCTTCGTAAGAGTAACATATACCTCCAATGTAGCCGATCAAAGGCCTTTTCGGCGTTTAGTGCGAGTAGTAGATCTGCTTGGTGTGATTTGTTGGCCCATTCTACCAAATTTAGGAAGTGCCTGGTATTGTCTCCCACCTGTCTTCCCTGTACAAAGCCTGCTTGTTCCTCTGAAACAAGATCTGGAATGATAGGTTTGAGTCTAGACGCTACAGGTTTAGCATAGAGTTTGGTATCTGCGTTTAATAGGGAGATTGGGCGTAGGTTTGGGTGGGGGATTTGTTAAGTTTTGGTAGTGTCACGAGATGCGCCACCAGCATTTCTTTGGGCATGGATCCAACGTCTTTAATGTGATTAAATAATTTAGTGAGGGGCGCCGTTAATTGGTTTTCTAATTTGATGTAGTAGTAATTGGAGAGCCCATCTGGTCCAGGGGCCTTATGCTTGGGAAGGGATTTTATCGCTGCTGCGGCTTCCTCTTCTGTGAAGGGACTTTCGAGGGAGGAGCACTGTGCCTGTGTTAGGCAGGGCGGAGGCGTCTTCTCTAGGAAGAGGCTTATTTCCTCCTCATTTGGTTGGTGGTTGTTGGGGTCTGTCTCTAGTTGGTATAGTGATGCGTAATAGTCCGCCAATTCGTTCACAATGTCTTGGGGATTGTATAGCTTGTCCCCACTCTTTTTTTATTGCAATTTAGTCTGTTTCGCTTTCCTGGCTAGGAGTTTGCCCGCCTTATTGCCCGTCACATAATAAGATTATTTTAAAAATCTTAGGTGTCTTTTTGTTATTGTAGGTTGTGTAAGGCCGTTCGGAGTGACATTATTCGTTTATGTTTTTTTCGTCGTGGGGGCCATCTTGTGTTTGGATTCCACCATGGCCAGTTCCTGTTCTATTCTGCCCATCTCTGAGTGACGTGACCTCTTTGCCCTAGCCCCTATTTTAATTAATATACCTCTCATGACTACCTTATGGGCCAGCCATTAGTGGGGGTGGAGGTTTGGCAGTTAGCGTGGTTAGAAAAGTATTCCTCCGCTTGGGTTTTTAGTTCTTGGAGCTGCTTAGGGTTATCTAAAAGGCTGTCAATGAGACGCCAAGTGCCACGTCCTCTGGCTGGGTATGGTATTCTGAGAACCACGTTTTGTGGCGCATGATCGGACCACGTTATTGGTCCGATCGGTACCTGAGTTGCCAGATCAATTCTGGTGTAGGTCATGTGTGCTGCTGAATAGTATGTGAAGTCTCTACCATTAGGATAAAGGCTTCGCCTTTATGTATTGTAGAGGTCCTAGTGAGAGAGCCTTCGGTAGTTTATCCAGTTCTCTTTTGATGTCTATAGGGGGATCTGGGACACAGTTAAAGCCGTAATTACAGGACCCATCATTGTGACATGCTAAAGGAACTAAACTGGCTATCCCTGGAATCCAGACGCACCCTTCATCTTTCCAGCCTTGTTTTTAAGAGCTTTTCTGGGAAACTACCACCCTACCTGTACAAAATGCTTTCCCCAGCTGTTCCCACTTTCTATAAGCTCCAATCCAGTACAAGCACTTTACTTAGTCTACCTCAATACAAAAAGAAAGCGGCCCGATCCTCCTTCTCCTACAGAGCACCGCAATTGTGGAATGACCTCCCGCACAATTGAAAATCTTCCCTAAGCCTAAAGTCATTTAAGAGATCCCTCTCTACATACCTCAAAACAGAATGCACGTGTCATGGTTGATTATATATTTCCTGCCTGTTCTATGTTAAATTTTGTATATATTGTGTATTGATATTGTTTTTGTATTTTGTTGTACCTAATGTAACAATGCAATGATTTGTGGACCCAGGACATACTTGAAAACGAGAGAAATCTCAATGTATCTTTCCTGGTAAAATATTTTATAAATAAATAAATATGATTGTGTGTACTGCCTTATATTGTTCGATTTTCCGAAAAGCCATAGTAAGGAAATATTTTTGCGCATCGTTGGGAGCGTACAATGACACTAGTGTTACCGATAACCCGTTTAGTGAACCCACCAGTATCAGTAGTCTACCATCTTTCCTAGTGTACTGTTTGGATGGAGTAAATACCCAATCATTGTGGAAGTAAATAGAAACCCTTTTGGCTTTAGTTCTAGACACAGCGTGGTAACATTGGGAGTAGTGGTTAATATTGAATTTCGGGGGATTCCTAACACACAGGTGAGACTCCTGCAGGCATACCACTGCTTCCTTGGATTTAGCCATTTCCTGTGCTGTCATTATCCTCTTGTGGGGGCTGTTTAGGCCTTTGACGTTTAATGTAAGTATGGTCAAGGTGTCAACCATTTTCCCAGATTGTGATAGCGCTGTGAAGCAACCAGGGTTTGGGGAAGAGGGGGTGGAGCGAGAGTAAGTGGGCTGAGCCAGGGGGGAGGTAACCATGGAAACAACATTGAAACAAGGATAAGGATTCAAGAGGGGAAAACTAAACTATGTACAAAGTGCCATGTCAGCATTTAGCGCTCTACATGGGTGAGATGTGAGCGGGAGAATCATTCCCTACCCACCTCTCAACCTGGGGTCGTTCCTGGTTTTTACCAGCCGGGTGTTTACAGCATTGTTAGTGAGCTTGTATTGTCCCTCCCCGATGCTTTTGTGTGTTTGTGTTTTTTGTCTGGTGGAAGCTTGACCTGTAGCTTTGCATGTCACGATGACACCTACTTTAACTCACTGAAAGCATTAATTAGTGTTGTCGTGTTAAATGTCCACCGGCCTCGCCTCGGCACCTCTCTGTGTGCAGCCATTTTAATGTCCCTCCCCTGGGTTCTACTCTTGATAGCGGTATGTACCACATGTAGCATTTCATACATAACATCTGTATCTGCTTGCACTGTACCTTGTGAACATTTCGTAAATACTATGGGATATGAGCAAAGCGCCCCACAGTTTGTCCTCATAGGCAAGGTTATAGACATTTATACATGGTGCGCATTGCATTAACTATCATACTCACGACCTAGTGGTCCGAGCAAACACAGCGCCATAGTGTGACATCAGTTCATATATATGCAAGGTGGTAAAATTGGAGACTTTCAGGCCTTAAGGGTAATCTGAGCACGAGGCCTATTGAGCTTCTCAGGCTTTGTTAGGCGAGCCCGCCAGCTGCCACTCTCTGTGCGTGCGTTTCGGGGATGCAATGGTAGAGTCAGTCGGTGTCCTCAGCGGGAACAAGCCCCATTCTTTCAGTAGCCTTATTCCCACCTCTGGTTCGGGTTTTTCCATTCCTCCAAATAAGCAATTTAGTCGGGTAACCCCAGCGGTATTGTATCTCGTTGTTCCTGAGGGTTTTTGTGATAGTGATAAAGTCTCTTCTTCTGCCCATTGTAAGTGTCGATAGGTCTGCATATAGCTGGATACCAGAGTAGGGATCCGGTAGAATGGGTTGTTTCCTCGCCGCCATAAGGAGTTTTTCTTTTGATCTGTAGTAATGAAAGCACGTTACCACATCTCATGGGGTGTCCGCGCTGAGTCTTTGCGGTTTTGGCAGACAGTGGGCCCGATCCATTAGCCATTCGGTTTCAGGCAGATCGGCCACCAGGGATTTGCAGAGTGATGTCAGATAATCTTAGAGCTGGTCTCTGGTCAAGCTCTCTGGGATTCCGCAAAAACGGACATTGTTCCGCCTCGAGCGGTCTTCCATGTCTGCTAGTTTCCTTTTTAGGAACTGGTGTTCCTCTGCTAGGGATTGGACGGCGTCCGCTAGGGTGTCGTGTGCCGAGCATATGTCATCTTTGCAGGCTTCTAGATTGTTTGTTCTCTCTCCGAGTTCCGCAATCTCCTTCTTGATATAAATGGTTGCTTTCTTTAAATCCGATTGCAAGGTAATTCTAAAATCTTGTAGCATTGCGTATAGTTTTATTTCTGTAACCAGAGCATCTGTGTATTGAACTGCCTCGTGGTCTTGTTGTGAGTTGGAGGCCTGCGAGCTATCCAGCCCTTCGGCGCCATCTTGTATAAGCCTCGATTTGTCTTTTTTAGAGGTGCGGATTTGGTCCGTCAGTTTTGTTTGTTTCGCCAGAGCCATTATTGGTAGAAGTAAGTATCAGGCAAGTGATTATACGTTCTCTGGGGTTGCTTTCTGCTATATATTCTTGCTTTAGGCTGTTTCGGACCAGGGGAGCTCTCACTCCATGCGTCCGTTCACCTCGGCTTCCGGCCCATCTACTGATGACCTTTTTTATTTATATATTTTTATTGCTGTGACTTTTAGAATGGATTATTTTGTTGTGATGGTTTGGGATTTTACCACTCTCTAAGATTTGCTGTCTGCATCCTGTCTTTTTAAAGGGATACTCAGGTGACATTGCTATAGGTCTGCTTTTCACACCTCACTGTGCTATGTTCACCTAGGTCAGCAATAATACTGTATATCTGCATGTGAAAGGCTTTTGTTTTTCTGCTAGGCAGGGATGACAACCAGATGAAGCCTTAACCTCTCCTGATAATGTTAAAACAAAAAACAGAATCTCCAAATTGTCACTAAGGTGAGCACTGAAAATATGTTAATCTACATGTCAGATTATCATCAATAGACACCCATGTGACACAATAGTTGGATACCGGAAGTGCCACCATATTGGTACTCCTTAACTTATCCACAAGGGAAACCACCTGCTTATTATGAGGGTGCCGTTTTGCCACACCCTCTGCAGGGAGTCACCTTAGGTCAGCACATCAAATAATGCCTTCCCCGGCTTCAATCAGACTGACTGAGACGAGCAAGCCCGTTTCATTTGTCCCTTCTAACTATGATGGGCCAATAACACGTCGTCATAACCTGATGTATAGTTTCTACAGATGTTTATTCTTTAGTGCTGCCCCTAAGTAGGGATAGATCGGCTTCTTGGAGTTCTGTAAAAAAAAAAACATACCATCATCACTTTCAGTGACACGGCATCAGTGCTGTGCATGCGTGCTAGAACGTAGGTCGGGTACGAAAATCTGATGGACTCACAGTGGGCATGCGTGTGGCAGTGCAGCCCCCGGAAGTAACATGACATCAGCTATTAGCAGCTAGCCTGTGTGCCCATCAGGTAGGGAAATATGTGGGGCATACGGCACACGTGCGTTCTTTTATCAGCTGGCTTGTCCATCCATCAGGTAGGAAAATCTGAAAGGTGAAATGTGCATGCACACTTGTTGAAGCATTAGAAGTGTTTGTTGTGGTGTTCTATAGACATCATAGAAACAAACTTGGTCTATGACCATAAGCATACTGACCAGTAATTACCCCACGATTCCTTGGGCATGCATGCTCATTCATTGGAAATGAACAGGAGATTATTGCATTTCATATATATATGTATATATATATATATATATATATATATATATATAAATAATGCCAAAATATCAGAGTATTACAGTATGCAATGATACCTTTTTTTTTTTATTGGACTAACATAGTATTTCAAAGACAAGTTTTCAAGAGTTTTCCTCTCAGGTCTGAAGCAATACTCATCAATCTGATAGAGTTTAACACTTAAAACAACTGATGTTAAAGAAGGGGAGGGAAAAGGGATGAGTGGGGTGTCATAAATAGCAGAAGATGTGCCTGAAAGTGAAAGGTGCAGGTTGGCTAAGAATAGCCAGAAAAAGTAAATAAGCTAGTTAAAGAACAAAAAAAACAAAAACAAGAAAACAGCAAAGCAGGGCATGCAAGTATATGGATGCATATATGTATGTATATAAATTGATCCAATAAAGGTGAAGCGAGAATATTGAAAAATAACTAAGTAAGACATTAAGATAGCGTTTATAAAAAGTTTTGGTAGTGTGTGAGAAAGCCAAAGTCTACATTAGGTCCTTCATTTCTGGTGTTGAAATGTGTGATCTTGTGTCTTTCGTTCATGAGAGTTTTTGAAGTTCCCTTTAAAAACTTTAATCCTGAGGTTTTGGATGGAGTGACCAGTCTGGGTGAAGTGATGACCAACAGGGGTACAATATCCATTTTCCATGTGGTTCTTGATTGAGTGTCTATGTAGATTCATTTTGAGATGCACCTAAGGCCAGTTTCTCCAATGTAGCAACCTTTGTCACACAATGTACACTGTATCATGTACACCATATTCGCAGATGTGCACGGACATGATCCCTTAATGTTGTGTGATTTGTTACTGTGTCTGGCTGTGTTATTGCCACATATATGTTGACACAGTTTTCAGAGTGATTTGTTGCATCATACAGTGCCATTCTGTGTGAGCTCCTGTTCTGTGGTCAATTTGCTGCGGACCAATCTCAGGTTAGGCTTTTTTTTTATGCTAGTATGGGGGGGTTCAGGAAATATTTTTGGAGTGTGGGTTCCTATGAAATTAATGGTTGTAGCTATTTAATAAATTAACGTACTACTCCTGTACGATGCAACAAATCACTCTGCAAACTGTGTCATCATACATATGGCAATAACACAGCCAGACTGACAGGGAAGGGTTTACCGGAGGGATGGGGGGATAGCGGGGACTGACAGCGAAGGGTTTACCAGAGGGATGGGGGGATAGCAGGGACTTTCATGGAAGGTCACCAGAGGGATGGGGCAAATAACTATCAGTCTTATTTTAGTAAAATTTAAAGGGAAACTATAGTGCCTAGAAAACAAACTTGTTTTCCTGGCACAATACCCAGGAAACCCTGGGTTCAGAAGGGGTTAAAAACTCCTTCTGTCACTTACCTGGGTCCAGAGCCCATGCCCCTCTGTGCTGGTTCAGGTCTGCCTTCGCTCCTCCCCCCGCTGACTGGGGAGACCTAATGCGCAATGGCCATGCTCACATTGGGATTTCCCCATAGGAAAGCATTATACAACGATTCAGCAGTCTCTGTGTGTGTATTCAGTGGACTGTGTTTACGTATTCAGCAGTCTGTGTGCATGTTTGTGTGTATTCAGTGGTCTGTGTGTATGTATTCAGCGTTCTGTGTGTACTCAGCAGTCTGTGTATGTGTTTGTGTGTATGTATTCAGCGGTCTGTGTGTATGTATTCAGCAGTCCGTGTGTATGTATTCAGCAGTCTGTGTGTATGTTTGTGTGTATGCATTCAGCGGACTGTGTGTGTGCATGTATTCAGCGGACTGTGTGTATGTATTCAGCAGTCTGTGTGTATGTATTCAGCAGTCTGTGTGTATGTATTCAGCAGTCTGTGTGTATGTTTGTGTGTATGTATTCAGCGGACTGTGTGTATGTATTCAGCGGTCTGTGTGTATGTGCATGTATTCAGCAGTCTGTGTGTCTGTATGTATTCAGCAGACTGTGTGTATGTGTGTGTATGTATTCAGCAGTCTGTGTGTATGCGTGTGTATGTATTCAGCAGTCTGTGTGTATGCGTGTGTGTATGTTTTCAGCGGACTGTGTGTATGTATTCAGCAGTCTGTGTGTATGTATGTGTGTATGTATTCAGCAGTCTGTGCAGTGGTGAATCCTGGTTTTGTGCTGCCCTAGGCAAAACAAAACTCAGATGTCCCCCCCTCCCCCGCGCCACTCCCACCTAACCCTTCCCCTCGCCTTCTAAATACACACACACACTTTCACTGACAGATACGTATACACTAGCTAACAGACACACACTCACTCACTCCCTGACACACACGGGCAAACACACTCACACTAACAGACACACACACACTCACTCACATTAACACATTTTTTTTTTTTTATTTAACCCCCCCCAGCCTCCTTACCTTTGGGAATGCTGGGGGGGTTCTATTTCACCCTGGGGGTCCAGTGGGGCTGCTGGGTGGGCTGCGCTGGCGAGGGAGCACTTCCCTTGAGCACTCTGCTCAGCTCCCTCGCGCGCAGCATGGTGATGCCGGGAGCCGGAATATGACGTCATATTCCGGCTCCCAGCCACACTCTGCTGTGCGTGAGGGAGCTGATCAGACAGCTCAGAGGAAGTGCTCCCTCGTCAGCCGCCCGCCAGCACCCCCCGACCGCCCAGCAGCCAGCCCATCAGCCTGACTGGAAAGTCAGTTAGCTGCAAGGCTAACAAGACATTTGCCCTGGGCATTTGGTGGCGGCTTTTTTTGCCGCCCAAGGCAAGTGCCTTGTTTGCCTTGCGGCTAAAACGTCCCTGGGTCTGTGTGTGCACTCAGCGGTCTGGGTGTGTGTACTCGGCGGTCTCTGTGTGTGTACCCGGCGGCCTGTGTGTGTGTACCCGGCGGTCTCTGTGTGTGTGTACCCGGCGGTCTCTGTGTGTGTGTACCCGGCGGTCTCTGTCTGTGTACTCGGCGGTCTCTGTGGGTGTACCCGGCGGTCTCTGTGGGTGTACCCGGCGGTCTCTGTGGGTGTACGGTCTCTGTGTGTGTGTACCCCGGTCTCTGTGTGTGTGTACCCGGCGGTCTCTGTCTGTGTACTCGGCGGTCTCTGTGGGTGTACCCGGCGGTCTCTGTGGGTGTACCCGGCGGTCTCTGTGGGTGTACCCGGCGGTCTCTGTGTGTGTGTACCCGGCGGTCTGTGTGTGTGTACCCGGCGGTCTCTGTGTGTGTACCCGGCGGTCTCTGTGGGTGTACCCGGCGGTCTGTGTGTGTGTACTCGGCGGTCTCTGTGTGTGTGTACCCGGCGGTCTCTGTGTGTGTACTCAGGTTTAATTGCCGTGTTATTTGAGGTAAATAAAGTTGCCATGTATTGCGGTTTGGGCACTGGGCTAGTGGCTGCCTACCATGGGTAATGGCTTTATAGGAAGCGTGCCACCCCGAGCAATGCGGGATAATCTCCGCTCAGAACATCACAGCGACCCGTCTACAGGCGGCAGCACATCCGGCTATCCTATCCTGCCTGCCGCCTATCCAGCCCGGCTACTGACCGGACAAGGTGCGCGTGGCCGTGCGCGTGCCCGGCAGATCACCTGCACAGGCCACTTCCGGGTGCTGAGGCCTCGCGTCCGCCAGCTTTCACCGCACGACAAATGTGCCAGTGCGCATGCGTAGCCCGATACCACCGGAAGTGACGCGAAGTTGCAACACGAAGTGGCCTCTGGGTGTAGCAGTATGGCGGCGCTTCCGCTTCCGTAAGTGTCTGGGGCCGCGGGGGCCGCTGGGAGAGCTGGTAGCAGCGGGTCCGATGCGGGGTGACCGTAGGAGACCCCGGAAACTGCGTCACTGGCGGCGGCGCCTCATCAGTATGCAGCCTTATTAACATAATGAGCTGAGGCCGGCGGGTAGAGCCCGGTATACCGTGTGTGGGGCCCCGGGGAGTGACCTTACTGTACTCTATAGAGCCGGAGTGAAGGCCTGGACGGGATGGGAGACAGCCGGGGTGAGTGTGTTTACAGACATCCCAATACAGCCTGCCCTCTGATAGGCCGTGACCAGGGGAAGTGTGTAATGCAGATCTGAGACACAACTCCCACAACGCCCAGCCAGCTTCATGACAGCCCGTAGGAGGGGGGGGGAGAGGAAATCCACAACTCCCACAACGCACAGCCAGATTCATGTCTGTCTAGGGAGGGGGAGAGAGAGGAAATCCACAACTCCCACAACGCACAGCCAGATTCATGGCTGTCGGGGGAGAGAAGATGCACAACTCCCACAACGCACAGCCAGCTTCATGGCTGTCTAGGGAGGGGGGAGAGGAAATCCACAACGCACAGCCAGCTTCATGGCTGTCTAGGGAGGGGGGAGAGGAAATCCACAACTCCCACAACGCACAGCCAGCTTCATGGCTGTCTGGGGGGAGGAGAAGATCCACAACGCACAGTCAGCTTCACGGCTGGGGGGGAGGAGATCCTCAACTCCCACAACGCCCAGCCAGCTTAATGGCTGTCTATGGGGGGGAAGAGGAGATCCACAACGCCTAGCCAGTTTCATGGCTGTCTATTGGGGGAGGAGATTCACAACTCCCCCAACGCCTAGTCAGTTTCATGGCTGTCTATTGGGGGAGGAGATTCACAACTCCCACAACGCCCAGCCAGCTTCATGGCTGTCTATGGTGGGAGGGAGGCCAAACTTAGAACAACAATAGCTGGAGATCCACAGCTCCCACAATGCTAAGCCAGCTTCATGGCCGTCTATGAGAGGAGGGGGAGGTCAAACCTAGAACAACAATAGCTGGAGATCCACAACTCCCACAACGCCCAGCCAGCTTCATGGCTGTCTATGAGAGGAGGGGGAGGCCAAACCTAGAACAACAATAGCTGGAGATCCACAATGCCCAACCAGCTTCATGGCTGTCTATGGTGGGAGGGAGGCCAAACCTAGAACAACAATAGCTGGAGAACTACAACGCTCAACCAGCTTCATGGCTGTCTATGGTGGGAGGGAGGCCAAACCTAGAACAACAATAGCTGGAGATCCACAACTCCCACAATGCTCAGCCAGCTTCATGGCTGTCTATGGTGGGAGGGAGGCCAAACCTAGAACAACAATAGCTGGAGATCCACAACTCCCACAATGCTCAGCCAGCTTCATGGCTGTCTATGGTGGGGGGGAGGCCAAACCTAGAACAACAATAGCTGGAGAGCCACAACTCCCACAACGCCCAGCCAGCTTCATGGCTGCCAAAACAACAGGGGAGTTCCTGTTAGTTTAGTAACAGTTTGGGGACTCAGTTCAGACATTTCACCAGGAATTGTGTTTTTCTCTATTTATGCACGGTTTGTAAAAAAATTCTAATCTGTTTATACTGTCTCTCTCCACAGTGTGCCAGAGCCCTGACACTTCATCTCTCAGCCCACCCTTGGGTCGTTCACTCAGCGGCACACCTCCTCCTCCTTCTGCTCCCCTGCACCCTTCAATGATTGGATCTGCAATGACTTCGTCTGTGAATTCTCCCCTTGGGAGTCTGGGCTCTCCTTTCCCTGTTATAAACTGTTCTGTGGGTTCACCTGGTATACCAGGTACACCATCTATAGGATATGGGCCAGTCAGCAGTCCACAGGTAATATATCATAATGTAATACTATGCGTATATGGAGCTAATGTCAGCTTGTAAAGGTCTGCATATTTTGGATTCTAATATTTTATATGTACAATGTGTGTCTATGGCAGTTTAAAAATAAAATATTGGGGTAAGATTTCCTTATTGTTGGCAATTGTTGTAGAATGCCCATCCAGATCTTGATGTGCTTGGTTCCAGTTAATAGGGAGTATTCATGTGGGGGCGAGTGTGTCTTACATGAATGGTGTTTACTTACTGCGGCATTTTATTTCCAATGGATAGCATTGAAAAGGAAGCGTATAGCCTTAAAATGACACTCCACAGCCCAAATACAAAAGAAATAAAAAAATCCATGTTTAGCAGATATCCCCAAATGCATTTAATTATGCATTTTTGGGGAGTTGTAAATCTGAAAACGGCTTGAAAAAGCTGCAGTTCTCTTGTCTGTTGCCTTTGCACCCCTCCTTCCCCAGCCCAGATGTTCTGTGACTGTCCAATTACAGACTTCCCACTGCTTAATGAAAAGTTTTTGCAAGGCAGGTGCTCTGGGTAATTGTTGCCTCTTGAGTGTAACTCCTCTGAGCTAGACCAACCAGGAAGTAAAGGGACCTGTTATCTATTTGAAAACCATATAAAGCATTTCATCAAGCTAAATGCTTTACATGTCCAGAGTGTTAAATTGGCAATAAAATGTTGGGTTGACAGTAGTATAGATATTTAAATTATCAGAATTGAATGCAAAGGAAACTTAATCTTTAAAAAAAATACAGATAATTCATAAATGATGACCAGTGGGGATGTGAGACTGACTTGGTAGCAATGTGGCGAGGCAACATAGTTTACGTATTGCAGATGTCATCACTAGTCCAGTGTAGTCAAAAGTTTAATTGCAGCTGTTTACCTTTTCTTTCTTTCTAATCCAGAGTGGTACGTGCAGTTGGGTCACTGTACTATGCCAGTGGTTGACAAATTTGCTTGGACTATAGGGGCCACTTTGTCAACACCATAAATACAAATCTTAAAGGGACACTATAGTCACCAGAACCACCACATCTGTTCTGGTGGCTCTAGCCTGCCCCTGTACACTTTTCATTGTAAACATGGACTACATTGTTTTCTAGTGACAGACACTCAGATGGCCTCTAGAGGTGCGTTCTAGGTCAGTGCTTTACAGTGTGCAGCACCTACATTCAACATCTCCACGCTCTGCATTGAGGCACTAAATGTTTCCCATAGAGATCCATTGATTCAATGCATGGTGTTTTGCCACACATGCACAATAGTCTTCCAATGACTTCCTATGGGAAAGCATTGGATTGTATGAGATCATCAAGTTAGACAATCTGGAGGTGGGGCCAGCTGCGGTTACAGCGGCATGGCGTGAAAAAAAAGAGTCAAAATATCTTTCCCATGTGATTGGAGGGACATTTTACCTAGACATTCCCTCACCCATGTATCTATGTGTGTCCACCCAGCCTCTCTACCTTTTGGTTTAATGATGCCTTGGCTGGAGAGACCTCATATTCCGGCTTCCAGCATCCCTAGAGGGTGCACGAGTGAGCAGAGCATGGACATGACAGCTCCCTCGCCGCCATCCATGAGCCACCTACCTGCCAGTCCATGCTCTCTCTGAGCAGGCTGCTTGGTCAGCCACCCGCCCATTTCTACTCACAGTCAGCTGGTCGCCTTAAGGGCTGAAAGGCCAACAAATCTCAAGCGCCAGGACACAATTCCTGGCGTCTGGGTTTGTTGAGCCCTGTTCTATGCTTTTATTTAATGTTCTCCTAAGGCTTTGTTTTTTGTTTCTTTTTTCTCACAATATCCTCTCAATGAAAAATTCCAGATATAGTCCAATCATGACATATGGTTTGTGTAATGTGTTTTTTTTTTTTTTGTGTGTGTGTGTGCAAATTTCACAATGAATTAATTTTTGAACATACTCTTTTACAGATAAATTCCACAGTAAACCTTTCTGGTCTACATAATGTTAGCTCTTCAGAAGATGTGAAACCTCCTCTGGGCATGAGAGGAATGCCAGGTCATCCCAATGGAGGGGCAGTCAGTGGGAAGCGTCTGTGTGCGATATGTGGGGACCGCTCATCAGGTGAGATACCAGAACAAAAGTATTTGGTATACACAGGGTTTAGCACAACGCACTTCAAAAACTCTCTTCTGTACACAGCAAGAGACCAGAATTTTAGGATAACTGTGCCAGTGTTCAAGTGTCTTAATAAGAATGATGGAATGTCAGGATTATCTACTAAATTCTGAATTTTCACAAGCATTTCTCCACATCTGCTATTATTTATTTCCTCCTCTTGATTCATGTCTAATTTATTTCCTAGAAACTGAGTTTAGTGACTGTGTTAGTTACTGGTTTAGAACACTTTTATTAAACAAAGGTTTTGTTTAAATGCTCGCCTGCTGATATGTCCTAGGGTCAGATGTAAGGAACAATGGCCTAGTCGGTTTAAGATGGTTCTTTGTAAGGTTTTGTATCTTGGCATTCCAGGCATGCCATTGACCTTTAAGTGTTCGGGTTAAATATGTCATATTTACATTGTTTAGTCTATTCCTCATTACTAAGGTGAGAACTAAATTTCCTATTTGACAGGAGCAGTTAGTGGAATCTGGTGTGCAGTAACATTTTTGGGTGATACTGTTAGGACTGTTGTATCTTTTCATGTTTTAAAATTCAGTGTAAGTGAAGTTATGGCCCATGTCAGGCTTTTAAAGCATTTTGCAGCAGCGATATGTTTCCAAATATTAAACTGTTTGTCTCTCACCTATTCCTTTTTTAGGGAAGCATTATGGTGTTTATAGTTGTGAGGGCTGCAAGGGATTCTTCAAACGTACAATCCGGAAGGACCTGACCTATACTTGTCGAGACAATAAGGACTGTGTAGTGGACAAGAGGCAGAGAAATCGCTGCCAATACTGCAGATATCAGAAGTGCCTCGCTACCGGCATGAAAAGAGAGGGTATGTTTTTATGTTGTCCATATATTTCAGTGGAAGAAAACTAAAATATAGTAGGTCATCTGTAGCATAAATATGATATAAAAAATGATAGATAACCGTGGGCTGCTTCACACTCAAACGAGCGACTTGAAACCGAGAATACTGAATATAGAGTAGTGTGAGTACCCCTATAAATACACAGGGATAATATAGAACAAACAATATTTTAATGTTTAAAATACCAGGGAAAACACAGACAAGAGACAATTCCGCTCTAAAAGGATCAATTAAATTTCTTGTTAGGTAAAACAGACGATCTAGTTGCAATGCCGTAAAAACTGCAAAACTGCAAAAGAGATATAACACTAGTCCAAAAATTGTCAAAGTGTAGCAAACCACTGAGATAATTTTAAGGAAACAGATGGCTATAAATTGTAACTTTCACACACAATTGAGTAGTATCACCTAAACCGTGACATAACAATGAGCAAAAAAAAACTAAAAATGGTGTGATCCGAAAGTAAACCACAGCTCAAAGAGAACCACCTAAGTCTGCACACAATAAGTTTAAAAAAAAAATCTTATCTATAGTCAATAGCAAAAATTGGTACTTATCCGTGGGGGGCCCTCCACATGTCTGAAATGATGCTGTAGCCTGGATAGATGCCGTGCAGAGGTGATTCCAATGGTATCCGGAAGGTGCTGCAGTGCACAGATATAGTACGGTGTCCAATGTAGGACAAGCATGCCCTACTGCTGCACAAGCCGAAGCAGAACAGCACGCTAAGCTCGAGTTGTGTGGTAAGCCACGGCCACTTTAATGGAGCAATGTCAAATATCTGGAATTGGTAAAAACGAGCCCAGAGAGTCTATGCGTTTTGTCTCCTCTTGAGACTTTATCTAGATTGTGGTCCCAAGTCTTTTAAATGCAGAATATAAATGCCCTCCAGTGGGGAAGATGCTTAAGTTAGATCAAAAAACACAAGTGGAATAATCACATAAGTCCCTGGTAGCACCTGGCCTATAATGACAAGTATATAGAGGAATTGTATAGTAATAGGTATTCCCAAACAAAGTTGTTCACTAAGGAGCAAACCAATCAACCCCAAAAAGACAATGAGTAGCATATACTGATACATTTATAGAGGAATTGTATAGTAATAGGAATTCCCAAGCTAATTGCTCACAATCAGAGTAAATTCAAGGAGGACAAATTCAAACTATAAGCTGTAACTGTACAGGAAAAAGAGGCATATCTACTAAGGCTCGTTACATTCTTGTAAGTGTCACAGCTAGGGTGTGTGTGGTTAGGGCTTCAGTAACAAAGGTGATTTAACTCCTAAATGGCAGAGAATTGAGCAGTGAGACTGCAGTGGCATGATCTATCAAAACTGCTTCACAATTATGTTAGTGTCTAAACCCCTCTTGGTGTGTGTGTCTGTCTGTCTTGATGGGTATAAAGAAAATGCAAAGAGATTGGAGCGGAGGTGATTTTAATAAAAAAAAATGGAAATGGCAGTATCTTGTGTTTGCTATTGTGTAATGCTGTTTGGCTTTAGCAGCAGGTTATCGTGTGTGTGTGTGTGTGTGATACACACATTAGAGCTCTTTATTCATTTGCTAATTAATAGGTCTTTTTATTATATTCTACAGATTTACCTGTCTCAGTCCACCCCTAACTTCAACATGTATTCATTACATGTACACAACTGTGACAAGACATTAGAATTGTGATGTTTCGTGAGAATGCATTGATCAGTATGCAAAACTGCTACAATGCCTTGTGTTGGTGTGTCTGTCTCTTTAAAGTACAGACTGTACTTTTAGAATGTGGGAGTGTCCCTGGTTAACATGGGAATGATTGATTTGGTGACATCAGCAAAGAGTAAAGTTGCACAATCCAAACTAATATTTTCTTAGTCTGAGTCTATTAAATTTAAAATATGAATGTGGTAGATTTCAACTCTCCGTATCCTCTCTAGCTGTACAATCTTCTTGTTACTGAGATTTATTTTATGGTGTGCGATGACATATCCCATGCCAACCCCTCCTGCCTCGATTGTTTTGTAGTTCACACTAATAAGTGGTGATGGCCTATCTGTTCTATTCTAGCACTTCATGTACCAATGATTGCTACATTTCAGTACATCAGCTGTTGTAGACTATAGTTCTGTTTTCCATTTAAATGCCAGAACTCCAGGAGGTGACCACCACTGGTTAATAGTACTACACACGTGTAACATAAGCAGTCTGTAACCTTAATTAACCTATAGTTTTTTTAAAAGGCTGCGATGGGAAGTAAAGTTTAGCAGCCAGCAATGTTTACCAGACACAACCTGACTATTATGAAATTCTGTGGTAGATCACAAGGGTGTGGGTTTTTTTTTTTTTTTTAATTTCCCTTAGTATAGGGCTTTGACCAAAGAGAAAAAACACTTCATTTGTTACTCTTTAAAGATCTCCTTATCTTTGCATGTATAACTTGCACATTCATATAAGTGTTTAATATCTTTTCGACATCTAGTGTCATCCACTTTTTAAATATCTTGCATGCTGTTATTTATAACCCACGCAGTATTGCTATCGACTCCCTCCCCTTTGCACTCTCCGGTATGTCTGCATTCCACAATAGTGTGTTTACCTAATATTACCTGCTGGCTGTGGCAAAGTTGCTATTGCTAAGTACATCCTTATTTTCTTAATTTCATCTAGAGTCTTCCCTTTCCAGTGTAAATGCCCGGTTGTGTTTTATTCTGTCTAGCAATGCTATTTCACTCTGGGCCCAGGTACTTTCATGTGTAAATCCAGAGGCATGCTAGGTATTTGGGTATAGACCTTTTTAAAAAGTAAAATGCTCTATTGGTCAACAACACTGAAAATAGTACTTTTGTAAAAATATTACATACAAACTGAAAATCTTAAATATCAAAAGTTGATTTGTCACACTGGATGCTTGACCATTTCAGTCACACTATCCTATGACTTACATTGTATGTCTGACATTGTGTCCCAATATATTTTTCAATTTGAGACTCCCAGTGAAATGGCTTGTGGGTTTTGTTGGAACTTGCTGCCAATCCATTTTGATACCTTGTCATTTAATGCAATAAACATCCCTATGCTCACACAGTTGAGGCTGTTGGCCTGTTTCAAAGATAATGCATACAAAATATTATAGTCAAAGCTCAATCAGTATGGGTCATTTTTGGTGTGGCAATGAGAAAGAAACAGGGTGCTTAAAGGGGAAAAACCTGTTCTCTCACAAGGTACTAAACAATCATACAATACAAATAATTCCCAAGCACACCAGAGATTTTCATACAAAGATACTTTTATTAAAGATATATTTAATGAAAAAGTGCATTTGTGCAAAACCGAGATACAGATAATACTATTAAATGTTCAAATCTGCATGTTTGTTAAAGTGCTTAAGACATAAAGTGCTTTTACCAAAAACCCATAAAATATAAACAAGATTTACTGACCTAGAGCGTGGAGCTCAAAAGAACCCCAATGTTTCTTTCTCAAGAGATCGCCCTTGAGAAAGGTCAAGGACCGAAATGTCGGTGTTGTTTTGGTCTCCAAGCTCTAGGTCAGTAAACTGACAGTGTTACTGTCCACTACATGCACCATACAATGTTATCCGTGAATTCTGGAACTGTGATCCTTCGCTAGCTCGTCAAAACAAGACTTTTCCAGTGCTACATAAAAGGCTGTCTTCCCATATGACCAGTAATTCAATATTTTATTTGGTTTTGAATTTGGGTATCCAATTTAAAACTGATGAAAAGTGGTCTATACAGCTCAGGGCACTGCTATATATAAAAGTGTGTTCTAAAATAACAGTAGTGCAATCACAGGTCTTGATATTTGCTGATTTTTAATACATGGAAGTCATTTACATGAAGTGACCAGTGTTGATCCTGCCTACATATTTCACAAGAATTGCACACAGGCAAGTATCAGTGTAATGTTCCTTTTTTTTGTTTTTTTTAAAACTTTTGTAGAGATAGCTATAAATAAGCAAATAGTTTCTCATTCACTGTGAAGATGGTTTGTTTTTGCTTTAGTAAAAAATAGCAGTAAATTAATCTGAACTTGATGCATAGCAAGCACATAAACTAAAGATATTGTGTACAGACTGTTGTCCATACAATTGCATCATTTACAGTATTCTAATTGGAACCAGATCCTTGTGATTATCAAATACAATTTGAATACAAAGGTCCAATCACAGGTTATGTGCAATCTCAGATCCTGCTCAGATGGTTTAGGACATACCGTACACAGTTAGTGCTGTTGCCCCATTGTGCATCGGTTTGTCTCCTGCTAGAGAGCTTGTATTTTGTAAGCCGACATGGGTATGGCATTCCCACACGATATCTATGATTGTAGTGAAGCTTTTGCTTCTGTTTCCCTTTGTGTCCCCGGTTGCTCCTTATTGTCTGTATTCTGCCATGAAATGGTTCAAATTGTGTCCTGTTTGTACATCTGTGTCCACTTAATGAATTCCAGCTATTTATGTTCCAGCCGTGCAAGAGGAACGACAGAGGGGACGGGAACGTGAAGGAGAGGCGGAATTTAGTGGGGCTATTAATGAAGAGATGCCTGTTGAGAAAATCTTGGAGGCAGAGCTAGCAGTGGAACAGAAGAGCGACCAGAGCCTAGAGGGTGGAGGATCAGTGAGTAATTACCCATGTCCTTTTAAGTATGGAGTTGGATAGAAGTCCATATCAGTCCACTTCTACAGAGGCTACTGCAAGGTTCTGCAAATTGTTTGGAAATATCCAGTCTATACATTGTACTGTGAGATTTCTGCATAGTATCTTAGTTGTTCCTGGAACATCACGCTTCTTAACAGAGATCTTAGATGTCGCACCTGGATTCTGTTTAATCCGTTCTCCTAGTTTACAGCCCCGACTGCTCTGATCACAACTGGAATTATTACTGCCTTCTCCTTCCACATCTTATATATAGCAAATGGTACTCCTAGGGCAGATCTCTGAGGAACAACTGGAAATCACCCAGCAGTTTGAGGATTAACTTCTTTATTGCATTGTTTATCTTTGGCAGGTTTTTTTCCCCTCCCTGTTTTACCCTCACTTTTTCTATCTTCTCCACTCTAGCCCAGTGATCCAGTTACCAATATCTGTCAAGCTGCAGACAAACAACTATTCACTCTTGTCGAATGGGCCAAGAGAATCCCTCACTTCTCTGAGCTGCTGCTGGATGATCAGGTTATTCTACTTAGAGCTGGTAAGTAGCTGTTTCATGTCAATTTATGAAAAGGATTATTTTCCCCACTAGTTCCCCAGAACTTTCATTCATATTTTTTCTTCTCCTTCAGGATGGAACGAACTTCTCATAGCTTCCTTCTCTCACCGCTCCATCTCTGTCAAAGATGGGATTCTTCTGGCTACTGGTCTGCATGTTCATCGCAACAGCGCACACAGCGCTGGGGTTGGAGCCATTTTTGACCGGTAATAAAATACACAGTGCACACTGGTTGGTGGATAATGTGATGCACTACAAAACATCCATGTAAGACCTAACTACAGTGCAAACAGCATGGTATTAGGTGCCAAGCAAATTCTCTCAACTTTTGTGATGGAGGGGAGGGAAATGACCCCTGTGACTATCCCTGTACTCCATAGTAACCATAATGAGGTTCCATGTCCTTATCCCCATCTGACTTAAATAATGCTAATCTGAAATAGAATTTATTAGCCGTCAATGATGTTTTATGGTGGCATATAGACTTTAATTCCTTAATGATCAAATCATTGTCTGTGGTGCAATCACAAAAATCTGTGCTTTAAAAAAAGAAAAGAAAAAAAATGCTATTTGTAAGTGGACTCTTTAGGTGACATTTGGGCTCCATTGAGCTGTTGATGCTGATTAAGCAGGACGTGCCATATTGGCAAAAGTTCAGATTGTGATGGCAGTAAGGAATATCTTTGATCTGCGCTAGAATAAACTTGGATCACAAATCCATTGAACATTATTTTTCTTTGCAACAATATTATGTGAACACAGGTTTGTATGCAGTAGAGTACGGAAGTTGGCACAGTCCACACAAAAATAGCTTTTACTGCCTGAAAATTACAAGTAGTGTACATTCCACTCTAACATTATACATTCTGTTTGCATTTATTTATAACCTATATGTCCTTTCCACCACCTTGCTGTGTAGATGATGTTTTGTGTCTGTTGCAGGGTCCTGACTGAACTTGTATCTAAGATGAGAGACATGCGCATGGATAAAACTGAGCTGGGTTGTCTGCGAGCAATCATTTTGTTTAATCCAGGTATCATTACAAATATTGTACAACAGGTTTATTGTGTGAGCTAGATGAGGCATGTGAGGGAATTCACACAGCAGACCAGGCTCTTTAACACCTATGCACAGGATATCAGAGTTATGATATACAATGTCCAGACTTTGTAGGATTGAATGTGTGAGCGTGAAAAAAGTGTGAAATACAGAAGAAATGGAGCTCTCTGGAATTGTGTTAGTGATATCAAAGGGTATAATATCACATACAAGGTCATATGTATATCATTGTAGATCCAGACTGTACAGCGTCACATATTAAAACCATATGATCACACAAATAGTATTTTGTACACAGTCTGGTTTTGTAAACTGAAACATGTTGCACACAATAGCCAGTGGCTTGATAATACCTGAGAATATTTTACCCCATGCAACCTCACATGTGTTTAAAGATAGGAATAAAAAGTTTTGCTGTTTGATCTAAGAACATACAGCCCATATGAGAGACTGTGCATGCCCTGCCTTTTGTTTAATTTGAGTTATGGACATTCCTTGCCAAGTTATGTTTGTTTTTTTGTTGGTTTTTTTTATTTTTTTGAGTCCTTGTCTGCACTAGGAAAGGGTAGAAAATTTTCCAATGTCATAAACGTGGAATGTATGGGACCTCTGTGAGGTTATAACTGAGAACACTCAGCCAGTTGCATCACTGTATTATCATCTTTGTTACAATGTGTGTATGTGATTGAACAAAGTCTTCTGTGTGGAAACTTTGCATGTGAAACAGGTGTGATCAGAGCTAATCCATTTGTTTCCTTTCAGATGCCAAGGGGTTGTCTAATCCAGGAGATGTGGAGGTTTTGAGAGAGAAGGTTTATGCATCATTGGAATCCTATTGCAAACAGAAATACCCAGACCAGCAGGGGAGGTGAGAGTAGTGGAAAAGTCTGTTTAAAGTGGAGTTTAGTGTAAGGGCTGAGGTAGGAGTGTCTTATGTTTTTGTGCCCTTCACCTATGTCTTTCTGTCCATTAAGGTTTGCGAAGTTGCTCCTCCGTCTCCCTGCCCTGCGGTCCATCGGTCTCAAATGCCTTGAGCATCTCTTCTTCTTCAAACTTATTGGAGACACTCCAATTGACACCTTTTTGATGGAGATGTTGGAGGCACCTCACCAGCTATCCTGAGAGACCGCTTGAGTCAACTAAAAACTGTTGCTCCACCCTCAAGGACAGATCCTGGATCACACACTCCTGTAGACCGCCTCCTTATGGGGATGTTAGATTGAACAGAGCAGATGGCTAGACACAACCCCTTCAATTCTCTGAGGCATTTCTTTATAAACCCTCTTAAGCTTTCTTATAAAGATGGAAGGTGCACTCTTGCAGGCACAGCGATGATTGTCCGAAACTGTTTAGATGGCGGCCTCCACCGATCAAGACATGGCTTCCATTTTTAAAATCTGACGTGGGTGTGAGATATATTGTTTCATTTTGAGAGAAACTCCTATGCAATATCCATGAATCTGATCCAGGGGCTGAGGCTATGTTTAAGGAGACAATTGACCTTGCTGGATATGTCCAGAGAGCTCCCTCCATCTATAGATGCATACACACTTTTGCCATGTTTGCCTGCCTTCAAGATAAAATTTCGGAAATAGGAAAACTCTTCTGAGAGGGTTGGACTTTATGAAGGAGAGCAATATGTATCTATTGGCAGGCAAAGCAAGTTTGTTGTGAGATGAGCTGGGAAGAGACTGATCCAGCAGCCATGCAAGAGAGCATGTTAAACTGTGGGATGTATAAGGGGAGCTGGTGGGTAGGCTTCTGAATTTTGATTTACATGTAATGAGTCCTATTTAATCAGTGGACATTATTAATGGGGTGATTTTCTTTCCCATTCTCCCTGATTTTGTGGTGCCCTATTTAATTACTGCACTTGTTTAACGAAAAAAAAAAAAAAAAAGCTGTAGAGTTCATTGTAATCAGAACAGAGAACTCTAAATCTCTTGGGTACACTCATTAACCTCTTTGGGGTTTGGACTGTTCCGCTTTTTGGGGTGCCTTGAAGAAAAATAGGGTCCTCTCAGCCCTATTGTTCTCTAGGGGGTGAGGGTGACCATAGGCTTGGGATGACTGCCTTTTTCCCCTTGTTTTGCTCTGTTTTAATAAGATTTTGGTTTTATTGGAACAGTGAACGTATTGCACAGAATTTGCGTACTGGAGGGAATATGTGTACACCTCCCTCCGTTTTAATGTTTTCTGCCAGTGGTCTCAGATTGTGTGGGTTTTTATGCCTGCTGAATGTGATGTTGCAAAAATCGGTTTCATCAAGCCTTTCCCTTCAAATTTTAAATGGGGTGTCTCTTTATGGTGAGGTTTTTTTGTGGGTGTTAAAATCCATACCCGCACACCCCAGATAAATTTCTGCTGCTAGAACTGTTTAAAATGTCTGCCTACCACCTTCTCCTCTGATTCTCTGTCATGAACATTAAAGTAGGTGATGGGTAAAGTCGTCTTCAAACTCCCCACCCCATCCCTTTGACCTCTTTCCCATTTACCAATCTACAATGTGTTTGTTTTTTGTTTTTTATGTATCACATTTTGCCCCTTTCTGTATAAATCCCAATGCCAAATGCCTGACAAATGGAGAGCACTGCATCAGCACCTGGCTCACCCTCACCTGGCTAAGTACACTGCGGGGGAAGCACCTTGTGGGAAGGGTTTCAGACCCCTTCCACACCCTGACTCCCGCTGCCCTGTCCCATTATCTGCGTTCCTTCATTATTCCCGTTGCTTGGAATGAACATTAAAGAGAATTTAGCTCAATCTTGTGGCCTTTGGCATTTTTATTAAAAACACACACACACACACACACAC